TCTTCGCTAGTCTTTTTTGGTAAAAGTCATGGTCTAGATCTACGAGTATTCATGTTTTATTCCCATTTTATGTTGATAATATGCAAGTTTTTTTTTGTTTTAATTTAAAATTGTATTATACATAAGTTATTTTCAATTTTTTTTATAGAAAGTTGTTAGTTTTATTAAAAATAAAAATATTTAAAATTATAATAAAGATTTACAAGCACAATCGTAAGGTTAAAATATAATTATGGCATTTTTCTATTACCATTGAGACAAAAGCTAGTCACCAGATCACATAATGAACATATAAGAAAACTGTTAAAAAACCTAACCAAAAATCTCAAATAAAATAAATGTATGAATAAATCTGACTGCATCGGTAAATGAACCACAAAAGAGGATGAAACTACTGAGAGACCACCGACAAATCACAATTAGACTCGAGCAACGTGAGGAAACTATCCACGAATGCAAAAGCATATCCAAATCAATCCGAGAGTCCAAAACATGAAAGATCAACATGATAATAGATAAGCGCCATTTTGATCAGTAGTGGCGATGCAAAATCCAACCCTAAGAAAAAAGATAAACGAAAACAACGACAAAAAAATCGAAAAGTACCAAAAGACAGAGATAAACATATTACAAAGACATAATTATTCTTATTAGAAAATTTAAAAAGAAACAAATAAAAAAAATAACCGACGGTCGACAACCAGTATCAAAACTGATGTCACTGACGACTAAACAAAGTCAAAGAAGAAAAAGTTGATTCGATCTATAGAGAAAGACACAAATTGTAAATAAAAAAAGGAGAGGATAAGGTGAAGGAAGAGAGCCGCTAGGGAATTTGATGTGAGCACATCCATGCCAGCAAATGTTTTAATTCAACTGGCTGCTTCATATTAGTTTTCAAAACTAAAAGTACGTTTTCAAATTTTTTTAATCTATCTTTGTATATATTATGTTTAATAAAAAAAGTAATTTTTTTTCAACATTTAACTAAATAATTATTTGAGTTTCTAATTTTTTAAAATTTTTGTTCTTAATATTTTGTTTTAGAACAAATTTTTTTACATAAAAGTTATTAGTTAACAAACACTCAACGTCATAAAACAGAAGTCATTTTACTCTAATCTAAAATATTAAAAAATGTTAAAATCAAAATGCGACTAAGATAAACATATTAGATTCTTTTAGAGTTAATTGTATAATATGTCCCCAAAATATGACTTTCTTTTTAAATTAGTCCCTAAACTTTTAGATATTTTAATTTAATTCCAAAACTATGACTCCCATTTTAAATTAGACCTTAAACTTTTGAACATTTTATTTTCATCCCTAAACTATGTCCATGTCTAAATTGGTCCCTTAACTTTTGAATATTCCGATTTCATCTCAAATTCTTCCAAATGCGTAATTAGTTTCAATCATAATTTAAACTAGATTTTGTTTTTCTTCAAACATATAATAATATAACTTAGACAAACAATTTTATTGACAAGGAATGTGATTTGTAGATACGTATAGTTTGGGATGAAATCGGAATGCTCAAAAAGTTGGGGGACCAATTTAGAAAGAGGGTCGTAGTTTGATGATGAAATTGAAAACTCAAAAGTTTGAGGACTAATTTAGAATGATAGTCATAGCTTATGGATGAAATTGAAACATTGAGAAGTTTAGGGACTAATTTAAAATTAGGGTTATAATTTGAGGACATATGGTGCAATTAACTCTTTTTTATATTGTGTCAATTTCATTGAAGGCTAATATAATATTTATTTATTAATAGATGATTGACTGAGTTATTGTACATGTGATTTGGTCAATTGGTCGTGGCAAGCATTCTTAATACTGTCGAAAGAATTAAAAGGAGGGGGACATAAAATATCCCAATCCAAAATTAGTCGGTCTTCGCTATTCACATCTGGTCATCTAATTAATTGGACCTGGACATTCTTCCAACCCTATCACACAACTTGAACCGTCTAACGATGCTTTCACATTACTTTTACAGGTTCAATGAATTGACCAAACACCAAGAACACATGCATGTTTTTGGAAAGGCATAATACCAAAATCCCCCCTGATGTTTATTGAAATAGCCATTTTACCCTCTATATATTTTTGGAGCATTTTAGATTCAACGTTCCATTTTACGGCAAAAAAGTCATAACGTTTGATGGAATAGACAGTTTGACTCTTATTTTTTGGAGCATTTTGACCCTCAACGTTTCATTTTAGGATAAAAAAGTTCATATTTTTTAGCGTTAAATGTTTGTTAACTAACTATTTTCATACATAGATTAACTTTTTGCCCCAAAATAAAATGTTGGGGCCAAAATATTCCAAAAAAAGAATGGGAGCTGAAACGACTATTTTGATAAACGTTGGGAGGTAATTTTAGTATTATGCCTTATGTAAAATGTAAAACTGGATTATTCTTCCTCATTTGACCGTTTGGTCTTTTTTATTTAACTTTTTTAGAGTTAAATTTGATGTCTTTTCAGCTTATTAAAATATCATTTATTTATAATCATATTAATATTTTTTGTTTTAAACCCTTTGGATATGAGATTTGTATTCAGAGATAGTTTCTTCATAAAACTCGACTCTGATTTGTGATTGTCGTGGTCTTTCACTAGCTTGATTTTCTGTTGTGATTCGTTTGTCGATGCAGTCAGATCTATTTATATTTATATTTGTTTGAGTTTTTTTAAGGAATTATTTTTTATTTTTTTCCTTGTATGATCTCAAGTGACTATTTTGCTGTGTCAATAGTTATAAAATGTCATAATTGTATGCTTAATTTTATATATATATATATATATATATATATAAAAAACGACTTTTATTTGCATAAAAAATTTAATCAGTTCAATAACATGGTATTTTAAAGTTATCCAAAAATCTAAATTGACGGATAAATGTGGATAAAAATCCAAATAGATAATAATCAAAGTCTTAAATTGTATTGCCATTGTATTACATGGATCAAGATTGAGATTTTAAAATTTAAAAAGTACAAGTTTAACATTGATCACATTAGAGTATATATTCTAATTTTATAACTTATACATATTACAGGAACTAATGACATAATTTAACCTAGTATATCGTAAAGACGTAAAATCAAGATTTTGTCCAATGATTAAGACATGTTAATTTAGATTAATATAAAAAAAAAAACTATAAGAAGAAAAATATTTTCGTTCAATTACGGGCGTCGGCCGTAGTTTGTGGACTAAAACCCTAGCAAAAAGCAAAGCCTTTCAGTTCAATATTTGAAGTGATGTGTAATGTAATTAATCATGATTTCGTAATGTCAATTTGACTATTTATTTATTATTTTCTCAAATATATTTTCTATGGGAAATCTTGGTGAACACGTTTAACAAGTTTTATTTTAATCCATTGAAGATACATTTTCTGTTAAAAATTACCGATTTTAATTGATTTTTGTCATTTTCCTAAAATGTGAAAGGAATAATGTGTACAATAAAGTCCAAATTGGTTGATATATAAGCAATAAGCAATGCCTAAACCTAATTCTGATTTGACAGAAAGGGTCAACGAGAAAAATAATTTTCAAACTCATGCATACCATTTTTAGTGTTATCATTATTTATATTATGTATAAATTCGTAATTAAGTCGTTAAACTATATTCGATAAAATTTTAATTTTTATTATCAAATATTTGATATTTTTCAAAACGACTGTCTTAAGTGAGTTTGTGAAAATTTAATTACACGAGAAGAGTGAAATATGAACATTCTAGTACTAATTTTATCGTGAAAGATAATTTATTAGTGGCCTGTAATTGACTGTTGACAACATACAGAAAGTGTAATGCCAAAAAAATATATCATTTAGAATTTTAGTGATAAAACTGTTATGCTACTAAAGTTTAGTATCCAAAACGATGTTGTCGTTTTAGGCATCAGGACAGCTAGACCAAACTATATTATTTTGGTGTGGCATACAACCTAAGTAACTGTTAGTTATGCCATCGTCTCATTAGCGATTAACGATAGAGTGTCATAATTAAATGTAAAATAATTTAATGTTATAATTGATGAAATTACAACTTCAATTGTATAAACGAGTCATTCAAGAAAATCTAGTGATATCTGAAATTTCAGTTTTCGATAAAATAAAATATTTTAAAACAAAGACAAATATATATATCAATGTTTATGTTTAATATTTTTTGTATGTCAGAGATTGGTCAACAATGAACTTCTCTAACTAGAAACATAAAAACCAAACAGCACCCACCCAGGGTTTTGCATTACTTTTATGGCGTGTTTCATGACTTTGACAAAACCACAATAAATTATTAAGGTTTTCAAACCAAACATACAGAATTACACCATCTCATCCTATTTTCTATTGGGTCTAATTTTGATCCCAGTCCCTTCATTATGCTACTTTTTAGAGTTTAATCCATCTACTTTAGTTTAAACATAATATGATTCATCTATTTTTACAATGTTATTAGTAAGTCAAATTAATAATCAGTTAATTAATGCCATTAAATTAATAATGTTGATTTCTTTACTAAAATTCGATCACATAGTTAAGGTAATGTAATTCCAATCAATTATGTTCAACTCATAATTAAAAAAAATACAATCACACTCAATATTTCATATGAATACAACCAAAATCAAAGTAGAGTGATTAATTAAATTCCAAATTTAAACATAGTACAAGGACTAAAACCAGAATTAGGCGTTTTCTTTTTTGTTTATTATTATTATATATGAGCACATTCTACATGCTTATCCCTCCTATATAAGTAAACAAAGACCTGTTATTAGTTATTACTCTTTTATCACTTTCTGCTAAAAAGCACATCACCAGCCTCCTCTGACCTCATTTATTGCCCTTCTTCCACCAAGTTTCCTTAGCCTTTTGCTTCCCATTTATGCTCCATCATTAAGTTCATTTGATCCAATTGGAACAACTGGTTTTGGAACTTCAGTTCTTCTTCTTAATTGGTGAATATATTTGATCTGGGTTTTTTCTTGAAGATTAAAAGGAAATAGATATGAATTCTTCTTCTTGGGCGGATGCCTTGGATCTTAATGCTTCAGCTAGGTCCCTTCAACTGGAAACTACTACTCCGGTAAGTCATTATATTCGATCTGTACCTTACCGCATCGATGGGTATATCGTTTTTGTTATGGTACCGGTATGTATATGGCCGGTGTCGGAACCGATTTGATGAACTGAGAAGCTTTTGTGTTGCAGAAGGAGACAAATGGCAGCAACTTTGTTGTATTTGGAAGGAAACTTACAGTGAAAGAAGAGGTGAGTTACTGAGTTGTTGTTAATGGTTATTTTATGTTAATTCCGGATTTTCTGAGTTCTCGAATTCGAGTCTCATTGTATGTGAATTATGTGTGAATTATGAAGACGGATGCTTTAGTGGACGAATTGAACCGTGTGAACGAAGAGAATAAGAAGCTGACGCAGATGCTAACAGCAATGTGTGAGAGTTACAATGCATTACAAAGCCAGTTGGGGGATTTAATGAGCAACAACAAGCAGGAAAAGTTTGAGCTTAGTCCGACGAAGAAACGGAAGTCCGAGAGCAACGGCGACGATGAGAACAAGAACAACATCGTCGGAAATTCTGAGAGCAGCTCAACCGATGAAGAATCATGTAAGAAACCTAGAGAAGAAATCATCAAGGCCAAAGTTTCAAGAGCCTATGTGAGAACTGATGCTTCTGATACCAGTCTTGTAAGTCTATAAAACCTTCCTTTACATGCCTGCACAAATACATGTATATCGTATAATAGTATGTTATTATATACATACTGTTAGGAAAGGCTTTTCATTATTTATCCGATTTCGATTCGTAATTCAGGTCGTAAAAGATGGATATCAATGGAGGAAATATGGCCAAAAGGTCACCAGGGATAATCCTTCCCCAAGAGCTTACTTCAAGTGCTCCTTCGCACCTAGCTGCCCCGTTAAAAAGAAGGTCGGTTTATCTGTATATCTATCTATATATAACATGCATATAAACTTAAGAAGTAATTTGGATAATCCGAGTTTTGAACTTTTTTTATATATGTTTGACGTTTCTTAGGTACAAAGAAGCGTTGATGACCAGTGTGTTGTAATTGCAACATATGAAGGCGAGCATAATCACCTTCCCCCATCTCAAATGGAAGCAACATCGGGTTCCAGCCGTTGCGTGAGCCTCAGTTCGGTCCCTGCCGGTTCGGCCTTGGTCAAGTCGGCAGGACCGACCATTACTCTAGACCTCACGAAACCAAAGTCCGGCGTTGATGAAGCTAGGAATCACTCCAAACCGAAAATAGAATCACCCGAAATCAAGCAATATTTGGTGGAACATATGGCATCTTCTTTAACAAAAGACCCCAATTTCACTGCGGCACTTGCAGCTGCCATTTCAGGAAGATTGTATTCAACAAATTCCAAATGAAAGATGAATCGGATATACACACACACACATGTATATGAAAATATGTTCTATTCTATTATTCTATGAGCTATATAAGTAGATGTTTTCAAATAGTACAACAATGCAGAAGAAGGGAGAAAAAGAAACCAAATATGAATCTGTTTAAGCACCAGCTTCTTGTAAATATATATTTTTAATTTTAGTTTCAACTTCAAATTGTTTTCAGTTTGTGTTCGTATTTTTCAATCTCGAAGTTTTATATTATTTTTTATTCATAAAGTTTGAATTTTTCACTATTCGACACACTGAATTTAATGCAAATCAAGTCTTATTTGGTAATTAACAAAGTATTTCTTATGTTTAAAGTGTTATGAATTTCTTCATCCTCAGTGCTCTTAGTTTTAAATTAACATGTAAAAAATATTTAAAATTCAGAACATAAACCAGAAATGAAATAATTTTCCTTTTAACCAAACGGTGTGTATATATAGGTTGGGTGGGTTAGTGTAAGTGGTAAAATTTATCAGATATTGGTGGAAAAAAAATTTCGTGAGATAATGTTGTTGGAGAATTATTTGCTGTGAGATAAGATGTTTGCTACAATTCGAACGTAGATCGCCAAGCCGTCCCTGCGACCAGTGCTGAGGTTGCCATGTGATCCCATCCAACTGTAGCTCGCCATGTGATCCCATCCAACTGTAGCTCGTCATGCAAGCACCACGACCTGGAGGGTTTGGCGGCAATTGATCTTACACAAAAACAAGTTCTGGAGACAACCACATTAAAGTTGGAGAACTTGTCTTCTTTTAAGGGTTGGTTTTAATATATATAAAGAAGAAGAAGAATAAGGCTTGAGCCAACAAATGCTTACAGATGTCTTCTTACAAAATTTGTTTGTCGGGTCCAAAACTTGCTTTTGTGTAAGATCAATTGCCGCCAAACCTCCAGGTCGTGATGCTTGCATGGCGACCTACAGGGATCACACAGCTCAGGTCGGGACGGCTTGGCGATCTGTGTTCGAACTGTAGCAAAAATCTTATCTCAACACTTAATTCTTCAACAACATTATCTAACGATTTTTTTTCCACACGATTATTTGATAAAATTTGCCGTAAGTACACACACTGTCCAAATCCTCTCTTTTCCAATCGTTTTAATTTTCCAACTTTCTTGATTATAATTTGTTTTATTTTTTTTCTTTGATACTAACCTACTAAAATGAAAAGATTATGGTGTTGTGTTCGTTTAGGGATTCCGGCGAAAGGAAAAAATGGGATTTTCCCGATTACACGAGATGGATGCTAACGGAGACGCCATGAACTCCGCCGCCGCCGGTGGTTCGAATTCAAAATCTTCCACCAAAAAGCATTCAAGAAAACCCAAATGTATTTTCCCTTTCTTTCCTGGATTGGTTTTTTTTTTTTTATTTAATTTAATTTCCCTTTTTTTATCAATCTGTTGAAACGGGATGCAATGTGGCTTATAATACCCAACAAGAGAAAAGAAACTCTGGATTTTGGTTGCAATAGTTGATTATATAGTTTTGATGTGCTGATAAATTGATAATTTGTTGAAGCTTTTAGTATAGTTTTGAGAATCAAGAATTGGGGTTATGGTAGATTTTCATCTCTTGTTTTGTTGGGGTTGCAGATTCTAAATTCACCCAGGCCCCATCAAGAGCTTCCTGCTTGCAAACCTGTTCTTACGCCTGGATTGGTATGTCTCCAATTCTCTTTCTTTTTCTTTCTGGATAAATGTATGTATGCATTTATTTATGTATGTGTTTGTGTGGGGTGTGCATGCATGTATGGAACTTTCCTTACATGAAGTACCTGAATACATGTATTAGGTTATGCCTAGACTCTTTGGAAGGAGAATGCTATGATTTTTCTTTCACGTTTATTTTAATGCAAGATTCCATTTTGGGGGAGGATTTTCAGGTCATTGCAACATTTACCGTCATTGGAATCGTCTTCATCCCATTGGTACTTGTATCATGGCCCCGTCGGAGCATTTAGTGAATTCTTCTCTCTTTATCGTCTCTAAATGTGTTCGTTTGTTGCTGTTCGATTCGTGCTGAACTTTGAAATCTATGTTGTTTCTGATGTTCATATAGGTGGTCGAAATTGTGGATCGCTATGATGACAGTCGTGTTCCTTCTGATTATTACAATAATAAGCTTAAGTTTATCCAAAGCGCTGATACTGACAAGTCTTGCGTTAGGATTTTTGCCAGTTAGTCCAATGCTTTCTCTGTTCTCTACTCTTTTTATTTATGGTGTTCAAGGAATTACTGTCTCATATCTATTTTACGTATTCCTCAAACATTTTATCTTAACACGTCGGTTCCACTAACGAGCATTAAGCTATACTTTTTTTTTTCTTCTTATTTTCCTCCTCTCTTTTTTTCCAGGTTCCTAAGCTGATGAAAAAGCCTATTTATATCTATTATCAGCTTGATAACTACTACCAAAACCATCGCCGGGGTGTGAAATCATATTCAAATACCGTGTTTAAGTTTCATGATATATAACTGTTTCATGAAAGATTTAGTAGTATTTCTTATGCATTTCCTTCTACGGTGCTTGTAGATAACCTTTCAATACTTTTAGTTTTCATCGTTCAAATTATTTATAAATTTGAAAAAAAATGGTTGCAGTTACGTAAAAAGTAGGAGTGATAAACAATTGAGGAGAAAGTCAGCTGCGAACGACGTGAGTGATTGTACCCTTGAAGACAAAACGAAGGACGGTCCGATCATTCCTTGTGGCCTGGTTGCATGGAGTTTGTTCAACGACACATATTGGTTTTCACTGGATAATAAGGCGATACAAGTAAACAAACACGACATAGCGTAGAAGAGCGACAAAGATCATAAATTTGGAAAGGATGTATATCCGAAAAATTTCCAGTTTGGAGGGTTGATCGGAGTTGCAAAACTGAACTCCTCCTTACCTGTAAGTATATTGTTGCGGAAGACGGCTATCGGATAGAGCAAATCACAACTAATAATTTGAGAAAATAAAAAGTAAGATAAAAAAGACACAAAATTTACGTGGAAAACCCCGAAATAATATAGGGTAAAAACCACGGGCAACGGTAGAAGAATTTCACTATGAGAAAATAAGAATTACAACTTCTCTCGATCTACCAAGGAGAAAATAATAAATTCTCTTGATAAAAAGGAGAAAACAACTCTCAAGAAATTCTCTAAATTCTCTCTAGTATTGGAAGAAAGCTAGAATGCTTTGGGATGATTTTGAAGCTAAATGAGCTAGGGTATTTATAGTTGAAGCTTAAGGACTAATTTATAAATATCCTAAATTATAATGGCTAAAATTGAGGTTCTATCATTGTTGAAAAATCAACAATTGTGTACTTCTTTTTGACAATTGTATTTGGTGGATTAATTAAATCCAACTTTCCACCGAAAGTTGGTTTAATTTTCAACAATCTCCCACTTGAAGATTTGATTGAAACAATCATATCTTCACACCATTCTTTCTACCTTGTACCATCATGTTGCTTACGTTTCTGACAGGTCACAAGAGGATCGACACCAAGTAAATTTATCGGTATTGATCGTTTTCGTCATGAAATCTGCTATGTTGTCTTTGGTAGGTATCTTCTGCATATCTACCTTCCATTCTTCTACCTTTTAACGAATGAAATGGTACTGAACTCGTATATGCTTTGTCCTTGAATGAAATGTTGGATTCCTTGCTAGATGCAAGACGCTTTGACTGTTACAAAACAGAGAGACATACTCTTGATTGTGCCCAAGCTCCTCCAATAGCATCTTCAACCAAATTGTTTCTTTACTGGCTTGTGTAGCTGCTACATATTATGCCTCTGTTGTGGATGTAGCCACAACTGACTGCAATTTTGAAACCCAACTTACAGTTCCACCAACAACTTTGAACACATATCATGTAGTAGATTTGCTTTTATCCAATTCCACTGCATAGTCAGAATCTACATACCCATTTATTAGTAAGTTTGATCCTCCGTAACATAATGAAACATTTGAGGTTCCTTTAATGTATCTCAGGATTCTCTTTACTGTATTCCAATGCTCTTTGCCTGGATTCGCCATGTACCGACTAACCACTCCCACTGCTTGTGCAATGTCTGGTCTTGTGCATATCATAGCGAACATTAAACTTCTAACTACTGATGCATACGGTACTCGAGACATCTCCATCCTCTCTTCTTCACTGCTAGGACTCATACTGGAGGATAATTTGAAGTTAATAGGAAGAGGGGTAGAAATTGACTTACAATCTTGCATGCTAAATCGTGACAAGATCTTCTTCAAGTAATTATTTTGTGAAAGGCAAATCTTCATATTACTTCAGTCTCGGTGAATTTACATCCCTAGAATCTTGTTTGCTGATCCCAAGTCCTTCATTTCAAATTCTCTAGCCAGTTGTGTCTTCAATTCGTCAATATGATCTTTGTTGGGTCCTGCAACCAATGTCATCCACATACAACAGCAATATAACAAAATCGTTATCACCAGACCTCTTGAAATAAGCACAAGGGTCTGCATTAAGTATGTTATATCCAAGACACATAATGAAGGAATCAAATCTCTTATACCAACACCTCGGCGCCTGCTTTAGACCGTACAGAGATTTGTTCAACCTGCAAACCAAATTCTTCTTTTCTTTTTCTTCAAAACCTTCAGGCTGGAGCATATAAATTTCTTATTCAAGATTTCATGAAGAAAAACTGTTTTAACATCTAGCTGCTCTAGATGTAAGTCCAATGTAGCACACATTGCCAAAACTACTCAAACTGTTGTTAGTCGAACCACAAGAGAAAATATTTCATTGAAATCAATACCTTCTTTTTGAGTATATCCTTTGACCACAGTCTTACACGATACCTCTCAACTTGATCGTCACCATTTCGCTTGATTTTGAAGACCATTTGTTACCAATTGGCTTCCTTCCTTGTGGTAGTGGCACAAGGTCCCATGTATTATTTTTATGAAGGGCTTCAATTTCTTCTTGCATCGCCATCATCCATAATGAAGCATTTGAGTTGTTTATTGCCTCCTGGTATGTTGATTACTCACCGTCCTCTGTTAAAAGACAATATGCAATATTACATTCTATAACATAATCTGAGTGCCAATTGGAGAGTCTTCTCACACGATCTGATTGACGAGTTATTGGAGCTTCAGAACTCTCTGGTTCTTGTTCATCATGTGCTGGTTCT